AGAAAGCTTTCCTGCTGATTACAGTTGAACGAGGCAGGCAGAGAACCCCCAGACGTGCACCTCTGCCCCTCAGCCTGGGGGCGTGACTCTCAGGTCCTTGTGGCTGCACCCCGCCCGCTGTTCCCTTCACTCTCTGTCAGGTGGAAATTCGACCCCCCATCTCAGGGGAGGCTCCATTTGCCCGGTCCCCACTCCGCCCCTGTTGGGCTCAGACCCTCGCTCCAACTCATCTGTCTCTGTATCCATACTTTTCCCTTCCTGCAGTGGCCCTTTGGGACAGCAGCCGGACACGCTTGGGCATCCTTCACCTGGAACAGCTTCCAGTCAGTAGGGCCCTTCCCACACCTGTCCACCTTCCTTCTGCCTCTGGTCTTCTTTCCTGCACCGGCCCGGGCACCTTCCTTCACCTCCCGAGCTGTTCCTTCTCGGGGCTGGCTCATGGTCTGCTCCGGCTCAGCTGCGCTCCAGACCCCGCCCCGGCTCTGTCCTGGGTCCCCTCACTGGCCTCTCCTCTCCCGCGGCGGCCTCGGTGCCTTCCCTGTGCTGAGGGCCCCAGAGTCCTGCCCCCGGCAGACCGCGTGGTTCACCTCTGCGCTGCGCCTTAACTCGCCAACCCCCGCGCCCTCCAGGACCGCTGCTTCTGCCAGTCACTGGCCAGGAGCCTGGTGGAGTTCGGTAAACGCGAGACCCTAACCAGGGCCCTGAGATGCAGAGACACAGAACACTGAGATGCTGGGAGCCACGGACACTTGGAACTGATGTGAGCCTCTTCCCCATGTGCCCCATTCTATATTCTGTGCTTTGTGTCTCTTCCAGTTGCCTGAGCAGGAAGCCTGGAGGCACCCTAGACTGCCCCTGCTGTCAGCGCCACCCGCCCCCGCCCTCCGCCTGGATCTTTGTGCGTCAAGAGGCTCCCACCTCCACCTGTGTCTGCAATCCACCAGCTCCTGCAACCAGACCCGGTTGTTTAAACAGAAACCTGAGCGGGCCACTCGCCCTCTTAGCTCTGCTGTGGCTCCCTGTGCAACCTCAGCCTGCCCTGTCGCTGCCCCTCTCCAGCCCCTCTTCCCTCCACCCCATTATTTCCACCCTTGACACTGAGCTTTCTCTGCATGCGGCTGGGTGACCTCCTATCCTCCCGGGACGCAGAGGGGCCCTGGGCAGAGGCTGCCAACTGTGGGTCTGCTAGTGCCCCCGTCCTCCCAGAGCCTGGCACACGTGCTGGGGGCCCTCAGAGCCCTGAGTGGTGAGTGAGTAAAGCCTCCAATGCCAGGACTGTGCCATCTGGAAATCCAGCCAAGGAGAGCATCCTAAGTGAAAAGCTTTGTATTGTACATGTTCTTGTTTAAAATGTTGAAAACATAAAAAACAATCTAAATATTGACCAGTAGGGTTAACTGTATTAAGGTATATATACCTAATTGGAATAGTGGGCTGGTACAAAAAAAGTGTGCTTACAAACATTTAGTAATAATACAGAAATATTTGTTATGCTATTAAGGAAAAATAAATATGCAGAATCTACACTAGAAACTACACTGAAAAAGACTGAAAGAAAACACAAAGACTGCAGTCATTGTCGCGGGAGGTGGGGCTGACAGTTTCTCTTCCTTTTTTTCTCTGCAATGAACATGTCTTAATTGTTTCAAGCATTATATGTTGCTATTAGGGACCCCCGAATGCAAATAGAAACAACCACAGAAAACTAAAGAAAGTACAGATACATTCATTAAATCCAAACATAGGGACTTCCGTGGTGGTCCAGTGGTAAAGAATCCACCTTACAATGCAGGGGACGATGGTTTGATCCCTGGTCAGGGAACTGAGATCCCACATGCTGCGGGGCAACTAAGCCCGGGAGCCACAACTACTGAGCTCGTGCTCCTCAACTAGGGAACCTGCGTGCCGCAAACCACAGAACCCACACGCCCTGGAGCCTGCACGCCACAACTAGAGAGAGAAAAACCCGCACGCCACAACTAGAGAGAAGCCTGCACACGACAATGAAAGAGCCCACATGCCTCAACGAAGATCCCGTGTCCCGCAACTAAGACCTGATGCAGCCAAAAATATAAATAAATAAATAAATAATAAATACACCTAAAAAAAAGAACAAAAAAACCCCAAACATAAAAAGTTATTTTGGCCACAATGGAAATACCAATCTCATAGGATTTGGTGAGTTCAGCTGTCAGGCCAAGAGCAGGACTACCCTGAGTGTATCTTTTCAACTTAAAGACGATTGCTAATATTTTGGTGTATTTTTTTTTCCAGTTTCCTTCCTATGAGTTTTGTTTTGTTTTGTTTTGTTTTATTTGAGGCCAGAAAGAAATTGGGAGAATCAAGGAATAATTTAGGGCAAAAAGATTAAGGCAAATGGGCTTCCCTGGTGGCGCAGTGGTTGAGAGTCTGCCTGCTGATGCAGGGGACGCGGGTTTGTGCCCTGGTCCGGGAAGATCCCACATGCCGCGGAGCGGCTGGGCCCATGAGCCATCGCCGCTGAGCCTGCGCGTCCGGAGCCTGTGCTCCGCAACGGGAGAGGCCACAGCAGGGAGAGGCCCGCGTACCAACAACAACAACAAAAAATTAAGGCAAAGTAGCTAAGATCATTGTAAAATAAAGAATGGTGGTCTCAGCTCAGATTCTAGTTATGAAACTGCTGACCAAGAAATTCATGATTTAAAATGTTTGAGTGACAAGAAAAGGAGAAAAACATAATCAGAGATTCAAAAATATAATCAATAAGGTAAAAAGAAATACATGTACACCCTGGATTTTATATTCTGCATGTCAAGAGTACGCTTCTTTTTGTTTTTTGTTGTTTTTTTTCTTTCGCTCTGGAGAATCCTTGGTTTATTTTTCATTTTTTTTTAACATCTTTATTGGAGTATAATTGCTTTACAATGGTATGTTAGTTTCAGCTTCACAACAAAATGAATCAGTTATATATATACATATGTTCCCATATCTCTTCCCTCTTGCGTCTCCCTCCCTCCCACCCTCCCTATCCCACCCCTCCAGGCAGTCACAGAGCACCGAGCTGGTCTCCCTGTGCTATGTGGCTGCTTCCCACTAGCTAGCTACCTTACTTTTGGTAGTGTATATATGTCCATGCCTCTCTCTTGCTTTGTCACAGTTTACCCTTCCCCCTCCCCATATCGTCAAGCCCATTCTCTAGTAAGTCTGTGTCTTTATTCCTGTTTCACCCCTAGGTTCTTCATGACATTTTTTTTTCTTAAATTCCATGTATATGTGTTAGCATACGGTATTTGTCTCTCTCTTTCTGACTTACTTCACTCTGTATGACAGAGTACGCTTCTTTTTGGATGTCACTGGGAATGTTTCAACAGTGGTTCGTGTGATAGGTGGGATGCAGAGCATTCGGCTCTAAGAGAACTGCC